TAGCAGTTGTTCTATCGTTAGCCGAACAAGGCAGTCATATTTCTGAGTTTCATTTGTTATATGAATCGTGGAGATTTCTTCAGAATTTCTGGCCTCTCTCACGACAAGTTGTTATTGATTTGATTGTATTTTGTGAACAACCAAGCTGTCACCAATTGCCATTATCTTGTTTACCTCTTTCCTACAAAAAGAAATTAGATCTGATAGCTACTTGTTTTTATGAAGTACTTGATCCAAAAATAGTCGAAGAATGGAACGATTATCTGTACATGACATCAATTGCATTCATGTTAACCAAAGAATATCGAAAAGCCATTGTTGATTATCATTGGATTTTGAGAGTAGATCAAGATGCTGTGTTGAGTCCTGGTTTACTGATGGGTTTGATTGGAAAACATAGAAAAAAACTACTTCCTATGCAATTTGGAGGAATCGAGCACGGAATCGAATTTACCAGTGAACGAACACGAAAGATTGCAAAAAAACTCGGCTACAATCATTCAGGTATACATAATCTATGTTCGGCATGGCTAGTCAATCCACATGACTCTGTGAAAATTGCAAATCTAACAACAATCATTGGCAGACATTTTTTGGAAAATGAATTTGGACGAAATGTTCCTGGTATGAAATTAACACTTTATTACTTTTTTTTGTTTTTCAGTTGATGAACCATGGCAAACAGTTAGATGAAAAACACTATATTTCATTCAAAAACTGTTATTAAATGACTGAGATAAAATAGGAATATAGCAGCAGTGGAATAATTGTATGTGAATGCAGTTTTGTAGAATCATGATTATTTACCTTTCTTTTCGAATAACTATAAAATAGATATCAACTGAACTGCTAGATCATTTTTGTGAATTTCATCAGAGCTTTGTTATTGTACAGCATGACTTTCCTAAAGGAAATAATTCTGTTAGAGCCACTTGCCATGTATTCATTAATCAAGACCTATATTCGAGCATGATGTATTTTTCTTATCAGGAACTGTCTTCTGCTTGTGTAAACAATTCTAATTCGTAAAAGAACTTGTATTTTCATAGATATCGGTATCTTGTACTGTTCTAACGCTATTTTCTGTAGATTGTAATATGAGAGTTCTGCATGAATACTAAGTTTTATTTTCAGCAAAAGTACGATAGAAAAGTTCTTTACGAAAAACCTATTGATCATCAATCTTCAAGGGTACTGTGAGAAACATGAAATCACACTTTATTCTACTATTTGTACAGTCTACATAAAAATGTTATGCTACATAAAGCATTACTGAAACTTTATTTTTATCTAGGTATTGAAAATTTACCTGATATTGGTGAATGGCCAAAATGGTGGCGAGGTGTCACATCATTGTATGCTGCTGAAATAGCCATTAATCATATTTATTCATCAACTCTTAGCCATGAACATGAGTCCAGTGCCATTGATCATCCATCTTATTCAACAGATTCAGTATGGAATGCTTGGCATATTCATTGTTTACATAATGAGGAGTACTTTTCTAAATTCGGACATCAAGATGAGCTAAAAGAATTCCTAAAACATCAACGAGAAAATCGAATCCAAAAAATGGTTAATACTACGTGGACAGATATGGTGTTGGTTGAAGTGTTAAATGAATATGAAAAGATACAAATGAACAATAAAATACCAATAGGCAACATAACAGTCCGTGATTACGTTAGAGCTTTAGCATGGCGAAAAGCGTATTCAGCCGCTGGTGCAGTCAATTTGAATTGAAAGCGTACGTGTTTTATTGAAATACGATCTATGTCGCTCAAGAAACTTTCCATGATTTTATGTAAGAAATAAATAGTGTGAGTGGAAAATAAAATTGTTGCAAGATTCAGTATTGCGGTTATAAATAGTATAAAGAAGAAATAGTATAAGTCCTCATCGTACATTCGAAAAACGGCTGAAGTTGAGGATGTGAGTGTGGGGATTGGCGTGAGACCTCTAGTTGATTATTTCACGCCTACATCCATACCCATACTCGCATTTGGGTCCTAGATTCTTAATATGGCTAGTCGTGGTTTAGTAGAAAGTATTTGCTCATTTTCACCGATGCTCGTTTTGATCTCATGCGTTCATTGATGCACAACACAATTTTGAACCTCACAAAAGTGATTATAAAACAATGAACTTTCGCGCTTATCACTTTCCAATCGTTCTAAATTTTAGATGGTCGACGCGTCTTAGCATCGATGAAACGGTTCGTTCCATCGTCTCAACATAGTTGTTTGTCTCTTGCTTACGATAGTTGTCTAGTTCAGATCTTTTTAATTGAGTATAAATCATCTTTCTTAGAAAAATTTCAACTTCCATAACTCACGTTAGATCCGCATTTTTTACAGAGACAGTATAATTGAAAATGACATGTGCATGACTTATTAAATCTCGTGTTCAGACTACAACGATAATGCTTTGAGAATGTGTTTAGCCTCACACACCAGCACGTTTTCTTCTCGTAGCATGTATCGATATATAGACAGGAATTATTGACAAAAGTTACGTGGTTCAATGAAACCTTTGTCATAGCGTTTGATAATATCAACAGCAAAGATAGTCTATCCGATGTATTAGTGATTATTTGTCACCACTTGACCACGAAAATAGAGACAACGCAAATAATGTTATTTGTGCTATTGGACGCATATAATGAATGGTTAGTTGACAAAACATGACAAAATATAAATCTTTTGATACATTTTGAAAATTCATTGCTATCTTGTTACTACTATTCGACATACATGCATAAGATTAAAAAAGCAGAGAATTAAGCATGTCTCATGGCAAATATTCTGTTTGGTGAATGGTTGCGAATGTTTCTTTTATGCAAAATAGCTGAATTCTTAGAAAAAGTATTTGGAACAGAAAAATATTGTTCAGCTTAGTTTTAAGAAGTTTCATAAATGTTCCAGAAGTAAATATAAATTGTTATTTGATTGAACTAATCTCTTTGTCTTTTGTACTGATATATAATCAGCCATCAAGGTAAAAAAGATAGTTTTCTTACAGAAATTATGTTAAAATTTGATAAAATTATCTTGTCAAAAGTTATTTATAAATTTATAAATTTTCTTAAAACATACATCTGTATGGTTTTATAGTTAGACAACAGATCTACAACTCTTCCTTTGAATCATTCTCATGTAACCATTTTGTATCTCAGTGCAATGAATGTTTTACACTATAGACATGACCTGTAACAAGCGTGATAGAATTAGATTATCTCTTCAATATTTCAACATAATCAAATCGGAGAAGACTGGTATATTCAAAAGTTGTTCAAGTTGGATTGTCTTAGACAATACGAAAGTTTCATAAGACTTGATCTTTCTTCTTTTAATTTAATAATTGAAATATAGGCTTGTGACGAAATCATCAAAAATGAATGCAGAGTTCGAGTATTGTGTAAATAACTAAAAGTTTAAGCTTAACTACAAGTATAATGAAAAATATTCTATGGCAAAGTTATAGGTTATATGGCAAGGCATAGATTAAAAAAACACGGAAGACATTGAAAAATTGGCTTCTTAGAGTAAAAAGAAGCGTCTTGGTGAAATTATGTTTTGCTACATTTGTATCTTTTCTCTGAAAATTTGACGATAAAAAAAACGAAATTGTAAAAACCAAAGTGCCAATGCTCCAAAATAAATCTTTGAGCATATAATATAGTTTTTACTACTCTAGAAATTGCACAAATGTTCCGTTTTCGGACAATATGATTTGACAATACTATTAGGTAAGGAAATCTAATATTAATATCATAATAAAAGAAACTCAAATGTAAAATGAATATCTAGAGGATGATAATATATGTACAGTAAAATCTCCTTATGTGGACATCTTTTTATTGTGGACACTTTGTGGTCCGCTAGAACTACTTTTGCTTGAATTAAGCCTCTTCAATGTGGACACCTCTCTATTCTGGACTGTGGACACTTTTCCGGTCCCATCATTAATAAAGAACCTCTTGAAAGTGGACAGTTGCCTGATTTCATGGCATTATCGGTACAGTATCAAAACTTAGAAAGAAAATTTTCAGTTTAAAACTCTAAAAACTTGCATGTGACCACGTCGCGATTTCTCATGCTGAAAATCAATTCTTGCCCTCTAGATTTTTCTTTTTGGACACCTAGTTTCTGTAGTTTCTTATCTTTCAGAATTTTCGTTTTCGGATCCTGAAATACTTAATTATTATTTTTATTTGAATAACTCTTCGACAATAATTAGTATTCTATTTATTATCATTTAAAAACAAGTAACTTATTTGCAAACGTTTCGAAGGCATTGTTTTCTTCTTCGGTGCATTTTAACAATAAATTATATGACAGAACAAAAAGACAATTGGATTTTTCTTCTTCTTCATTGATCGTTATTTATTACTGATACGGAAGAAAATGAACTTTAACTCATCTGATCCAGTATTATCGGTGTGTTTCTTCTTCTGTAGCAGTAATCAAGAATGATAAATGAAGAAAAAGAAAAGTGACATTGTCGTTTTGTTCTGTTATAAACTTTATTTTTAAAATGCATAGAAGAAGGAAGCAGATACTTTCGAAACGTTTCTAAATAAATTATTTGTCTTTAAATAGCAATAATAAATATAAATTATGGTGGAAGAGTAATTCAAACTAAAATAAGAATTGTAATGTTCTTCCAATTCAACGCGCAACATTTGTGACCCTCATTTTTCTTTTTGGCAGACCTTTACATAAAAATGTACACTGAATAAATTAGTAAGTCACATACCCTTCAACTTCAATAGAAAGACAAGTAAAAGAAGATAAATCAGGAAGTAAGAAAGAAGCTCATTTATTCTTGTACACATAGAGTGACAATAATTCATGATTCGTTTTCGACAAACTCAAGTTAAAGACAATTTATATTCATTGTAACTAGGAAATGTGCAACAGAAACTATCTCATGAGATATTTCAAAAACGAATCGCAGGAATCCAAAGAGTTCTCGGAATTCCAGTAGAAAAGTTTACCTCTACACGTTTCCACGTGGTATAAACTCGAGAAATAAGGTGGATACACTTTAGCTGCTGTAAAACTGATTTAAAAACAAAAGATCGAAAACCTCCCAAAAGTGGACATCTCCATATGGGAATACCTTTGAAAGTGTCCTTGTGTGTCCACTATAGAGAGGTTTTACTGTATGTCACAATTGATTAATCAATCATGATTTCAAGAAGAAACAAATGTTGGTGAAATCTGCATAATGAAACTGATTGCTATGAAAAGAAGGCCACTTTTCAACTACTACTATTCTATGGTAATTTACAAGTTTCAAGTCGACATTTGCATTCTATCCCTTAACATGAGCTTATTGTCTTTTCACCCTATACTGTCGTTTAAATTAGTCGACATATTCTGCAGTAGAATTAACGAAAGACGAACACAATTATACAGATCGATTCGAGTACATGAATTGTTTGTATATGTTGCTCTTTGTTCTCAATTCCATAAACTTCATACTGTATAGATATTGTTTTGACACTAAACTATTTTGTAAGCATGACAGTCGAAGAGAAATAAGAGAGGCAACTACATATTCTATCAAAATGTGTGTACTGTGTGTCTCATTACGTGCTTATGGAATCTGTATCCCTTTCATTTTTGCCAACCTAATTACATCTTTTTGAGGAGTATTATTTGAGTTCGTACAAATAAACCAATACAAACAAACATCATCCCATTACTTGTTTACCGTCAGCAGAAATCATTGTAAACGATCATTGTTACATTATATTTATCTACGTCATATAAAGTATGTTGCGAAAGAAAAATACCATGGTTTGTTTTATGTTTCGGAAGCTACAGCAAGAGAAGCAGAACGGAAACCATACATCAAACTACACGAGAAGGCTACAATGATTCTTTATTTCACAGAGAAGAAATAAGGTTTTTTTGATCATTTATTCAAAAGAACATCATAATCATGTTCCGTGAAACAACTCTGAAAATGTATGTGGTACACTATCTGCTGATCCATGTTTCCTTATTTACGCATCACAAAAAAAGACTCTGAACAAACATTAGAAAAAAGATAATCGAATAGTAAAAATTGATACAGCCAAATCTCGAATCTCTGTGGTCTTTTCTATTCTGTTACGATTTATAAAGTTAAGTTGATTCATTCAGGTTTGGTTTTTCTTTTCATATTTTATATGTTGTATAGTTTTTTGCTGGGATTTACGGCTTAGACTCTCGCTTCTAATTTACTCATTTCTCAAACTCTCACAGAAAGTTGATTGTTTTATAACTTGTGGTATGATTTCAATTAACTCGTTCCATTTCAGATAGCTTGCATCTAATCACCTCTAGTACAGGTTCCGTTTCACGATGTCCTCTGTTTAAATGGTTGCACTATGATTTGATTTTCTTATACCTTAAACTAATGCAAATGATGAATTTTTTTCATTTCGTTTTGTTGTTGATAAGTATTAAATACGCTAGAACACATCATGATAGATATAACTTTTTTCTCAGCACCTTATTTGGATAAGAAAGCGAACCATACAAGCGATAAACTTCTCTTTTTAGTTCAACATCGAGTAATGTTTGTCTGTTATATGAAATGAAACAGATTCGTTTTGTTTTTACTTTCTCTTTCTATTATCGCTTGCAGATATCTAAAATGGATCTCAATAGGTGTGTTTTCATTCAATCCATTTTCAATGCTGCAGGTCATATGATCGCAGAACCCTCAAATTGATAGATTTTAGTATTAGTAATAGTATTCAATGTTCGATTTGTATTTGCTTCAATGGTAATGCAATTGCATATCTATAATGACATATTGTAAATCATGACAACGAAATAAAGAAAAACTACATTGATGTTCTTTAAAAGTACATGTTCGGTTAACCAACTGTACTATGTTTGTTTCTCTCGATACTATGACCTTTCATTTTCCCTTTTTTTTCAGCACCGAAAAAGTACGGTCAAAGTAATTTATTTTTTTCTCTTCTCTTAACGACCTACAGCATCCATGTAATATAAATTACTTCGTACAAAAAATACTAGTACACACAGCGCTTTATTGATGTATTAGAGTTAAAAAAGCGTTATTTTCTTCATCACTTGATATCTTCGTCCAGGTAACCTACCAATATCAATAAACTATCTTGTAAGAATAAAGTCCAATGAAATTTGTGTTCTTTCAAAACTACTATTTAACCTGAATGTATGAAATCTCACAGCGGCCTAACTATGCGTCCTATATAATCTTGTCCTCTGATGATTGATTATCAAGATATTAGATCATTTCGGAGTTTTACACAGTAGACTCTAGATTACAGAATCGATACATATATTTCCACTGTAAATAAGTATTCGTATGTATCATGATATAAAAACTGTACGATCAAAAACGATATAAAAAAAAAGATCAACTCAGATCATACAGTTTACATTAGCTATCACACTATTATCTTCTATCTCATACTACTTTTTATCAGTAATCCCTTTTATCTTTCGAACTTTTCTTTACTATACGACTTTGACTGAGTCCTCAACAGTTTTAATAAACTTACATGCAAAATCAGCTATCTCCTACTCACTAAAAGATATTTCCAAGTTGAACACTATACTCGACTTGCGAGTCGTAACAGCTTGTAGTACTCAGTCTTCTAAGGAAATATCTTAAGTAGTTTCTTCTCGTAGTTTACTTTTCGGCTTATTGTCTTTTCGATAATGTGTTTACTGTAGTCGAAGTATTAGAGAAACTCGAATAATAGAAACTTCCGCTCGTGTTCATCGCTACTGGAAGCTTCATAGTCACCAGAATAGTTCCAAGTCCTGGGAAAAAATTTTTCACAGACTAATATGTTTGGAATGGTGTGATGTCAACGAAACCTGTTCTTAGGCCCAGTTATTGATCAAAAGTCTGCAATCTGGCATTTTTCAATATGTTTTAAGCGAGACAAAAGTTTCAATAAAACCACCAAAAACTCAAAACTAAACTGCAGATAGAGAAACTAGTTCTAGACTTCCTTGCAACACACCGATTTTTGCAAAATCTTGGACACGTACTTCAAAACATTGCTCCACACTTATCAGGCGTATAATATGAGTATATTTTAATGTTTTCTTTCCTTTTTTTAATACCCATTCAAAGACGCAAAGACCGAGCGAATTTGAGCATTGAGTACAAATAGTATAAGTAAAAATTGACTCTCCTTGACTAATTTCAAAATCGGTTTTCATGATCATTTCTTGAATATAAATGAATAGCTAATCAACATTTGTAGCACTTCAACATCATTAGAAGTTTCTTCCACGCATTACTGAAGTTACAAGATGAATTTTTCATATTCATTAGAATTTGGTTTAGAATCAGATGAAAACGGTTGAAATCGATCAGCATTGATACGAAAAGATCTAGCATCAATTTATCAAGTTCAGTATCTTTTGGATATTGAGTCTTTCGAAAATTTATTGATTCTCGATATCTGTAGTCATGTGCCCTGATAGATGCAAAATCAAAATTCTTATACTTAGATGTCTCTCGTTCAGTTTTCCTTAATTGTCGATGCGGCTTTTTTGAAACATGATACCAACGCATAGTCTTTGTTTCGTACCGAGAATGTTACTCCTTAGTAATTATGCATTTTACATGTCGAAAATTGATTCTATTTCACAATAATATCCGAAAAATATTAAATAGAGTAAATATCCGGCAGATTATCTAATGTCAATGTTAACTCAAGACAAACAGTTTCAATTTGAATTTCAAACCAAAAATTCGAATTGAAATGATGCTTTCCTATAATATGATTCGATCCTAGGCGTAAAATTTCGGTGTTAAAGAATTATTTCAGAATCAGCTAGTAAAAATATTATTTTATATTGTTGAATTAGTAAGTTATCTATACAGTCTTGAGCATCTACTTGAAGACAACGTATTGTTCTACATTTTGTGAACAGATGCATTTTCCCTGAATTCAAAACATGTTCCTCAATCATGTACGCATGTGCACTAGTAACTATGTATTACACCAATATTTCATACCAATAGATTGACCATCGATATTTACACATCGAATCAAGATTCAAGGCGACATCATGTCACTGTTGAGTGTGATTGTCTTCAGCGCTACTGTTTTTTATGTGCAAAGTATTACGTACAATATTACTAATTCTACGACAAACTGGCAAACTATTTTGACTAATCTCAAAGCGGGTGACATTGCTGTCATGCGCTATGGCATCTATACAACATCGAACACTAGCTACTTTCAATTGACTTTAAACGGTACTCTCACAAAGCCGATTATCATTCAAGGCGCACCTAATGAACCGCGTCCCATTATTCAGTGTGCTCGAGCTGGTGCAAGTGCTCAAAATGTCATGAATATTCAAGGTTCAAATTTCATGGTGAAAGGGATAGCATTTACCAAAGGTTCAAGAGGAATCCGTGTTGGACCGGCTGGTATGTAACTCGAAGTCTCTTAGTGATCTTGATTATCTCACTTTTTTTGCTAAACTTAATATCTAGTTACAACCAATGCAATTTTTGATAATATTTACATTTACAATACCACTGGAACAGCATTTTCAGCCAACGATGCAGGTAATGAATATGTTAATATAACATTACGAAACAGTGAAATAACTAATACCAACACTTTAGGTAAGTATCGATTATGAAGTGTCTCTTTCATTTGTACTGTCTTACAATTGTTTTCACAAATGCAGCTAATACAACGGGTGAATGTGTTTATCTCGGATGTACCAATGATACATGTCGAATTCGTGATTCAATCATTGACCACAATTATTGTCATGATACACTTAGTTCAGTTGGAGGATCAAGGGCTGGATTCCAAGTCAAAGTAAACCTAGATTAATGTAGTTCTATTGAAAAACTTTGTGATTTTTTAGTCTGGTTCATACAATGTTATCATTCGTAATAATGTTTGTTACAAGGTAGTTGGACCTTGTATTGTTGTTTATGATGATTATAATCGTGGACGAAATTTGATTGATGGAAATTTGGCAATCAGTGCTGGAACAGCTGATCTCGGAATACAATGTACATCTGGAGCCACAATCACTAATAATATTGTGATCAATGCTAGTACGAGCAAGATTTTGATATGAAAGCATTGATTGTGTCCTTTTGAATACACTTGTATAATCTTGTATTAATAGTAGTAGTGAGCATCACTTTGAGTGGAATATTATGGGTAATATCTGGCAACTCTTCGATTCCTAAGACCCTATAAGTCAAATATTATAAAAATGTTTGAAAGCGAGAGATCTTACGAAAACCAAAACATTGTTAAACATAAGAAATTCTTTCACATACTTTGCCTGAAGATCCTTTTCTTATTGGTTTTAATTCAAGCGAAGCAATAAGAACTTTCTTTCAGAAGAAGTGCATATTGCTTGATAAAACTAAGGAACGTTAAGAGAACTTGAATACGAACAACTAAAAAGCCCAGGAGATTCAATCCGACCTGTAGATTCGATCGAAAACGATCGGATCCGCCTCGGATTTCATCGGAATCCGGCATCTTTCATAAAAAACCGATCGGATCCGACAAGGTTTTTGTCGGATTCCCATCAGCCGGATTCTGGTCCGGATTTCATCGGAATTCGACGGAACACAATGAAATCCGGGCCGGATCAGGTCAGATTTTACCACGTTCCGTCGAATTCCGATGAAATCCGGATCGGAATCCGGCTGATGGGAATCCGACAAATATAGGACCGGATCCGATCGAAATTATTCCGAACTGGCGAGATCCGCCTGGGATCGTTTGACCTGGGAGCTATTGATTTTTCTGACTTTCGACTGTTTAGGTCTTGCTGGAATTGGCGTCATACAGAACTCGATTTACCCGGCTATCAACTACATTCGAAACATCACGATTACTCGAAATACTGTTTATATGTCTCAAGCGGATGCATGTCTTCGTCTAAATGGCGTCACAAATAAAAACATTACAATTTCCAACAATGTACTATACTGTGGAAATCAATACTCAATCAAAGCTACAAATGATTTGACAGGAAAATTAATATAAAATCTAGCATAGCATTTCTCGAGGCATCTTACCTTTTTCTTGTTTTAGGTGCCTCAATTTACAATAATGCTATCAATGGTAGTATTAGTGCTACAGGCATTCAATCATGTGGAACATTCGCAATCTCTAACAATGTCTTCATCAATGCTGCAGCCAATAATTTTTATCCAGCAGCAGGGTCTCCACTGATCAATAAGGGTGCGAATCCATTTTATCAAGCTCTTTATGATTACAATGGAATGAGTAGATCCCTAGCAACACCAACCGTTGGCGCATACGTAAGCATAACTGAAACTACTTTATTGAATCATTACTAATTTGTTATGTTTCTCCACTGTTTAGGAATATTCTACTACAAATAATCCTGGGTGTGCGACAACAAACAATTTTAAATGTGGTTCATCCACAGCTGGTGTCTCACAATATTCTCTAATTAGTTGAACATTGACATGATCTTAGGCGATATTTTAACCATTTTCATTTTAATGCTATGTATGCAGTATATTATAAGGAAGTTTGCTTTTTTTGTAGGTATGCTCTTTTAGCGAATTGCCGACTGTACTGTCTAAATGACTCACACATATTTAACCATTTTTTCAATAAAAGAATAAGAGTGGTACGTGGGTGTGAGTATTAGCATGAATAGGGGCGTGAATGAGAATGTGGCTGTGAATCTCTTTTCGATCCATAGCCATATTCACACCCACATTCGCCCTATTTAACATAAAAATAATAAGAGAAAACTGTAGACAATGATAATAGTTGCTGACATGTAATTGTAGCTGTTACTGTTGGTAGTAGCTGTACTGGTAGTAGCATTGTCGATATGGTTCTCATATTGCACCTGATAGATACGGTTGTTACTATCATCAGTAAATAGTAGGCTTCCATCTTTAAGCATAAGTAAACCAACTGGACGTCCGAATGTATCAGGTCCTGAAGGATTTGTTAGGAATCCAAAAATAAAATCTTCATAGTAGCCTATTGGTCGATGAGTTATGTTGCCGAATGGCACAAAAACAAGTTTGTATCCAGTTCCATTGTTTTTATTCCATGAACCATGCAATGCTACGAATGCACCATTGTGATACTTACTTGGAAACTGATTGCCTGAATAAAAAAGAATATCGATTGCACCCGAATGAGCTTGAAATAGAACATCAGGTGTTCGTGTAAGTGAGACTAAATCGGGTCTTTCACTTGTTCCATTGGCTAGACGGCGTCTTGGATCAGTTAAGTTTGCACTCAAATAAGCATAAGGCCATCCATAGTAATCATTCTGTTGAATACGCGTAAAATAGTCTGGTACTAGATCATCGCCAAGAGCATCTCGTTCCTGACATGTAGCATACAAATCGTTTGTAATCGGATGAAAGGCTAAACCGATAGCATTTCTTAAGCCGTAAGCAAACGTTCTTTGATTACTACCATCAAGATTAGCTTGCTGAACGGAGGCTCGTGGTAAATCTTCAGCATTAACATTTGATGCTGATCCAATACTGACATAGATACGATCAGAAGTAGGTGATACGACAACAGTTCGCGTCCAGTGACCATTTTCAGCATAGGTCATCACTACTTCACCTGTACCTGATATTTGACGACTTCCATAAACCCATGAATAGCGTCGTGTAACATTTCGACTCCCAACATAAAAATATCCATTCGCAAATGCCATGCCATACGGTCGATTGAGTCCATTTGATATATCAGCAAATGTTGTACGTTGATCTGGATAGCCATCATCATCTGTATCTAACAAACACGAGATTCGATTGGCATTTGGCTCACTGACGAGTAAATCACCTGCTGGTGTATAGAGAAGATAGCGTGGAGATATGAGACCACTCATATATAACTTTACTGTAAATCCATCAGGGACATAGAGAAGAGGATTCTCAGGTACAGCAGTTATGTTTGCTCTTTTAGAGACCGATGATGTAGCGAATGGCTCTGGAAGATCGTTTAGTGTTATATGAATGGGTTGTGGGACGAAAGTAACATTGTCACCATTGATCAAATGATTATTAAGACAAGTCATGAGTACAATCAGCCAAAAATAGATGCATGATAATAGTGACGAAAACATTTTTGGGATTAGAGACCAGTGGCTGTTATTGTTGGTTCCTTTGCTTGACAGCTAATTGAGTCCTCAACTTTATACTAAAACATACTACTAAAGCTGAGAACAAATATAAGATTAAATTATCTTTAAATGGCTGCTACCTCTTATAGCTTTGATATTCAATCTCTGTATTTATGTGAGTTTCTAACAATTTTTGTTATTTTTCTTTTCTTATCTTTCACGTGATACAGAACTGCGCTTGTTTTATACGAGGTGCATGTCGTTGGTTATACAAGGTATGATTTATGTGAGTTATTATAAACGTGAATGCGTGTTCGTATGAAGGTAGTGTCAATAAATAATAAATGTAACTCAAATTACAGCTCGGTGCACACTTTTATTTGAAAAACTGCTTATGATTTTAGTTTTAGAATACCATCTCAATGTTCTTTTTTTTCACGAGTAAACATGAATTGACGCCCTTGATCTACTTGATTAGTAATTTTAGACCTTTATTATCTTTTTCAGTCTTATATAATATTTCATAGATGATAGAAAAATAGTATTCGAAGAACTATTGAATAAGACGTATATAAAAATCTCCACAAATGTGAACACCAATGATAACATTCTAAATAGATCTTGTCAAATGTGCAAGATAATCTTAAGACTTTTTGTTCTATCGACATTTTTCATCAGGTAGCAAATGAGCTAATGAATACAATTTCAATAGATTATTCAAAAACGAAGCCTTTTCTGTTTCTAATCGTAGTGGGTCTAAACTGAAATTGATTACTTGTTGTTTGTTTGTTTTCGCCTCAGTATCTGCATCTTTGCCATAAAACGTTCGCAGTTAATCGAAATATGCATGAATTCTATTGAGCTTAATTTTAGAAAGAGAGAATAGTGCGGTGATTCTGAAAAAAAAACGCACAAGCAACAATAAAATGATAGAGTCAACAGAGAAAAAGGTGCTTGTCAAGAAGAAAAAGAAGGAAAAAAATGAGACTTTTTAATTGTATGGGAAGATCAATTGCAGAGGTAATTATTGTGAGACGGCTCGAGTTATTATGATCAACATACTGATGATAACCAAGAAGGCCACGATAATTATCGAATGTAGCTAGTTTGGAGTAAAAAGCGAGAAATACATTCATGAATGTTTGTAATCTTCTTTCAACTACCAGCAACAAGTGGAGTGTGAATAAAAGGAAAAGTAGATCGTATTCGATGAGAATACTGCGTGAAGGAATGTAGCTATTCGTGGAGAGAGACAGTCGGTCATATGCCTTCTTGATTAGGTTATGAATGTTGATGAGGAGAAATGTTGTTTTATTGGTTTTGAGTGATGAGAAGATACTTACCTTCCAACATCCTCTTAGGTATAAAGGACGTGTACTAAGCAATTGTTATATCATGTGTTTCTTGGCAACGTAATGAACTGCCATCGAAATGTCTGTCTGAGGAACTGAACCCAGTTGCATTGAAACATGCTCATTTAGTAAGCGACGCGAATAAAATGACTCTCAGTAGCAGCTTTCCGGTATGAAAGATGAAATAGTTTGCTACTACGGCTACTGATGCTGTTGCAGGCATCGGGAGGGAGTTATGTAAACGAGAGTTTATTGAACTGTGAATGATGTTTCCTTGGAACTGCATCATTATTCTTAGTACCACAAAGAATGGTTTTTTTTGCGTTTCGCTTGAGCCTTGTCGTCGTACTGAAGACAAGTTGTGTTAACTTTCACATTAGTATTTTTCGTAAATAGGCATGGGTGCTTATCAAAAGTACAAAAACATACCATAAACAACTATAATGTTGAAGAGGTTTGTCACCTATGCATTTCCGTAGAGGACACAGTGTTCAAATACAGTGTCAATGTCAGAATCAAATTTGTCTACACGTTTGAAAATATATGAATTGTTTATATCACATGATAAATTATATATCGATTGTCAGTCATTTTCTTGACGAGAAATAAACCATAAACTAAAAAAGCAATGTACGACTGTGATCTGAAGTCTTCTTTTAAAATGATGACGAATGTTCAAATTACAAAGTAAAAATGAATAAAGTTTTGCAAATGTTAGAATATCTTTGTCACAAAAACTTTCAATTAGTGCACACTTACTTAAATTAGACGCCCAAAAGTGTTTGAATTAGACTGAAGAATATGATAAGTGTCTTGATAATGTCAATTAATAGTAGTGCACAAAGTTTCATGAATAGGAAATATTAGCGAGAAGATAAGATGAAGTCTATACATGTGACATTGTATTTGCGACTAGTATTTGAGCTTCTAGCCATGAGTAAGTCTTCTATAAAAGGTATCTTACAATAAGTAATAGATAGAAAAGAAAGTGTCCATTGCTCAGAGATTGAAAGTGTACTTTTTTGTAGAGGCTTACTTCGAGCTACAAATGATAGGTCGTTGCGACAAGTGTCGAGCCAGAAAGATGATACTTCTACCAGCACTGACATTGATAACTGTCGCATATTATTTTGCAACTGAGAATCTAAAGAGAGCTAAATCAGCACTATCATCCATTTTCATCGATTAGAGTGACAACGAATTCTTCACTATAATTCCAACCATAAATCAAAAGAATTTGGAATAGACAACCGAGTTCGCTTTCAAACAAAACATCTGTCAATCAATTATAAGAAAAAGTATATGGTCAAGATTTTCAAGCTTTACATATCAGTTGATTTCATCGTTGCTCAAAAATGTTCAACAAAACTTAATAATCGAATTATTTTTTATGGATGTAATGAAAGAGCTTTTTTCTTTTCCACATTTTGAGTTTTCTTAGTTTCAGTCAATCAGTAATTTCTACAATAATTTTATTTCCCATGCCAAGTTCAGTGTAATAAAAAATACAAGTGTATTTTCTCAATTTCTATGGAACTATTCTGTTTAATTTCTGAAAAGGCGTCAAAAGGTTGATTCATGCCATAGGGTTATGTTGTCGAAACTCTCGCCTTTCACAATTTGTGTTTTCGGAATAATGTAGTTTTCACAAAGAATGTGAGTGTGGATGTGGATGTAGATACATTCGCATCCACTCCTTTATATATGACATTGTTATGTCGTCACAAGGCGATTAAAGGACTTTCCAGATAGAAATGATTGAAAAGTAAATTTACATACACACCGAAGAGACGTTTTTGTTCATTTGATCCGTAGAATACATAGCCAATCATTGACGAAGTCTAAATCAAACGCGTTTTTTCTCATTTAGCATAGATGGACACAAGACAATCGTAGACTCTTACGAGCGAGGACATGATATGTAAATCAATTTTGGTATACTACCTTTTCACCAGTAAAGGTCTACAATTGATCCCTATCGATCTCTATCATTAACCAAGAAG